AGGGGAGGTCTTCTTTTCCTTCCTTCTGATCCTAGTCAATTAGATCTCATCAGGAGTGGCTGCATTGTCTTCTTCTGTGGCCTGGTAATGCTGCTTTTCCCTCAGGGGGGAAGTAATTAAAGAGTAGACCAAGCAGTTCATGTCAGAGACAGGCCCTGTTCAATGGAACCCACTTGGATACTGAACTGCCATGGGCTACATCTGTGCAGGGGTCTTAGGTTATCTCCATGCATAGTCCTTGGTTGGAGTATCAGTCTCAGGAAAGACCCCTGTGCTCAGATTTTTTGGTTTTGTTGCTCTCCTTGTGGAGTTCCTGTCCTCTCCAGATCTTACTGTTTCCCACTTCTTTTATAAGATTCCCTGCGCTCTGCCCAAAGGTTGACCATAAGTCTCAGCATCTGCATTGATAGTCTGCAGAGCAGAGCCTTTCAGAGGTCCTCTGTGTCAGGCTCCTGACTTCTTCCCTCTTTTCTCCTTCTTCTGATGTCCATCCTTTTTGCCTCTCTGGATAGAAATTGAGCATTGAGTCTCAAGTACACAATAAGGACATTTGCTCAACCGTGTTTGTCGCAGCTTTATTTGTAATAGCCAGAAGCTGGAAACAGCCCAGATGCCCCTCACTGGAGGAATGGATGCACAAATTGTGGTATATCTACACAATGGAATATTACTCAGCAATGAAAAACAAGGAAATCATGAAATTTGCAGGTAAATGGTGGGATCTGGAAAAGATCATCCTGAGTGAGCTATCCCAGAAGCAGAAAAATGTACACGGTATATACTCACTCATATAGACATATAATATAAGATAAACCTACTAAAATCTATACGCCTAAGAAATTAATCAAGAGGGAGTACTCTTGCATGTATCCACTTCTACTCACTGTTTTTAAATTGTGCTAAACAATGACAAAAAGAGTCAGTGGTGCAGGGTTTTTGGCTTTGTTGTTCTCCTTGTGGAGCTTCTGTCCCCTCCAGGTCTTTCTCTCTCCCCCTTCTTCCATAAGTTTCCCTGTACTCCCAAGGAGGGCTGTATGAAGAGAACCTATGACTCCTGCTCAGATGAAGCCCATAGGCAGCCCAGTTTCCAAGTGGGTTCCCTAGTAAGAGGGTCAGGAGCTGTCTCTGACATGAACTCAGTGGCTGGCTCTTTGATCACCTCTCCCTGGGGGGAGGGGGGATGCAGCCTTGCCAAGCCACAGAGGAAGATGATACAGTCAGCCCTGATGAGTCATAGGGTCAGTGGACTAGGGGAGGGGCATAGGCAGAGAAGAGAGAAGGTGGGTTGGACTGGGAAGAGATGTGGGGAGGGTAACAACCGGATCCAAAGTGGATGAATTTTAATCAATAATAATAGATTCAAAATTACAAAATAGAGTCAGTGGCTTGGTTTCTACTCCTTATGAGCTGGTGTGTGTGATACTAGTGAAAAGTTATTTCATTTACCTGAGGACTGTTTTCTCATACATGGAGAGCGATTTCATCATTATTTATTGACACTCTCCTGTAGTTTTAAGTGCATTCATCTAAACCTACTTAAATGGTCAGTCATGATAAAAATATTTCCACCCCTAAAACATTTGTCATACAATCTCTTAATTTATTTAATTTTTTCATTATTATTATTATTTATTACAATTTATTCACTTTGTATCCTGGCTGTAGCTCCCTTTCTCACCCCCCTCCCAGGTCACAGTCACTCTCCCTCTTTCTCCTTCCCACTCCCCTCCCCTAGTCCACTGATAGGGAGGTCCTCCTCCTCTACTCTCTGACCCTTACCTATCAAGTTTCATCAGGACTATCTGTATCCTCTTTCTCTGTGGCATAGTTAGGCCACTTTGCTGGAGGTGAGTGGTGATCAAATGGCCAGCCACTGAGTCCACATCAGAGGCAAGCCCCTGCTCTCCTTATTAGGGAACCCACATGGAGGCTGAGCTGCCCATGGGATACATCTGAGCAGGGGGTCTAGGTCCTCTCCCTGCATGGTCTTTGGTTGATTCATAAGCCTTTGCAGGACACCCTGAACCCAATTTTTTTTGGCTCTGTTGGTCTTCTTGTAGAAATCCTGCCCCCCAGCAGTCTTTCTATCACCCCTCTTTCTGTAAGATTCCCTACTCTCTGACCAAAGATTGGCTATGAGTAGCATCATCTGCTTTGGTACCCTGGTGGGTAGAGTCTTTCAGAGTCACCCTATGGAAGGTTCCTTTCCTGTCCTGATCACTATCTTCTCCTACTTCAGATGTCTATTCTGTTTGCCCTTCTGAATGAGGATTAAGCCTCATCCCTAGGGTCCTTTTTGTTGTTTAGCTTCTTTAGGACTTTAGTCCTAATGATCTCCTTATTAAAAGAAAAAAAAAACTTTTCAACTTTGACTCTGTGATGAAAGACAACTTTTACAAGAGCACTTTACAAAAATAATGACACATTAGTAAACCTCTTGATCACAGTATGGGAGCTGTTGCTAGATGGTAAGTAGTACTTGAGTCTGTTTACTGAGATGTGCTGAGATTTTAACATGAATCTGGTAAAGGGTGGGAGAAAGAGTATGTGGGAAAGACACATGTGATATGATCTCTTTCCTTCTACACCTATACTTTCCTCCCTTCTAGGCATCTGCACAATTTTCTATGGAGTTTCATTACACTACATGGGAATCCTGTTCTACTCAAAAGCTACATACATAAAGATAATTAACACAATACGTATTAAAATGTGTGTTGGAGAAGACGGGCTTACACAGAGTAATATATATTAAGGATACATAATGTGTTGATTTTATTTCTTTCAGATACATATATGTTAAGCTAAAAAAAATCAGATAAAATATAGCACAGTCTTAGTTGTCATTTGTGAATTACGAAGGTGACCTGAAGACTACTGCTTTTTATAGTTTGTTGGTGCATAAAGATATTTTCATAAGGAATTACTTATGAATCTAGATGCTTAACTTTAAAGAAAGCAGCTTGTAATCAGAAGCTATTTATGATAAAAGTAACTGGGGGCAAGTGAATTGAAAAAAAAAATGTAGAGGCCACTGTCTAATAATATGGATACATTTTCTCACTAAAATCTATTTTATCCCACATAGAGCTTAAACTGCTTTCTTTATGTTAGTTTTCCAAAGTATTCCTTCATTTATTCCCCCATCAATTCTTCCTTTCCTACTTTCTTCCTATCCTTTCTTCATTTCTTTACTTTCTTTTTCTTCTTGTCTTGTCAAAACACAGAATAAGACTGGGGAATCATCATGTCACACCATATACAAACAACATTTTTTAAATCCATTTCCTTCATTTATTCGGAGAAAAGAAAGCTTTAAAAAATAGATTTGTCATATCTATATCTATATCATCTATATATATTTACTCACACAAGTACATAAATATATTATGTATGTGTGGGCACAAGTATATACACATCTGTCAATCACAGTGAATGTCATAAGTTATACACACAGATTCAGTGGAAAACTAAAAAAAGAATCCAGAGCCTCTTTGGGAAAGGCAAGGACTAGCATGACTTTACAGCGTTTATGCAGTGATTCTGAAGGAGTTAGGAGCACACATGCCATAATCGCTGTATATTTGACTTTGGTTAAAACGTTGTAGCCCAGGGGAGGGAGACCTTTGTTCTGTGTGCCTGCACTGTGCATGCTCTTTCCGAGGGGGGCTAGTTTTGTTCTCATGCCATGGGAGCAGGTGGCATGAAGCTGTTTTGATGAGGTTAAAAGGCTCCTCCCCCCTCTCTGTGAGCAGCAGCCTCAAGTACGTCAGCAGTAATTGTGTGCGTGGCTCTGCTGTGCAGGGTGGGTGGAGGCAAAATTGATATCAAATAAGGGCATCAAACTGGGATCCCAGAGTTCCGTTTAAGTTGTTGCTCATTTTCATTAGCCCCACCAGGGTGAAAACCTTATAACTTAAATATCCTCCACACAAGAACAACAATTCTGATGGATTTAAATTTTCTTCTCCAAAAGGACTGATTTAGTGCTACATGGTGGATATAAATGAAAAGGTTTCTTTATCCTCTTTTTATTTTGTTATTGACATTTCAGACTTTAGATCAGTTAGAAAAAAGAGAGAGGTTCTGCTGCTTGGATGTGTAGCCTTTAATGAGGATGGGAGCGGTGCTGCTTTTGAGGTTTCTTGCCATTTCTTCAGTTGTTCTTTCTCCCTTTCCCTTGGGCCCAGGGTGTGGGAACTATCCAAGGTACTAGGATGATGGCACCTTTGCTTTTCAATGCAGGCCGATTGCAGAAGCAGAGGAGAGAGATTACTGCTTATTTTCAGAAGGTACGTTCTTTGTTTCAGAATCCTTGATTAATCAGCAGCAGCAGCATCAACAGACTAAGGCAGCTGGAGAGAAGAGAGAAGCAGGAAGGGAGGGAGTTGGGAGAGAGGGAGGGATGGAGGGAGGGAGGGAGGGAGTCGGCAGGAAGGGAGGGAGGGAGAGAGAGAGAGAGAGAGAGAGAGAGAGAGAGAGAGAGAGAGCGAGCATACCAGAGCCAGAGCCAGAGCGAGCTGGTTGTCATGGGGGAGGGACGATGCTACCAGCTAGGTTTCTCCAAACGTTCTGTATGTATGCATCGAGAAAGAGCATCTTTGGGGCTGAAAGGAGACATTTAGAGAGGATGTGTCTGATTTTTTGTTTCCATGTATTTTTGTCTTCACAGAACATGATCAAATGAGGTACCTTAGCCAGCTTGGTGATTGCTTCGGGTCTTGTGATCATCTGTGTAGCAAAGTGGGTAAAATCATTCAGTTTCTTCCCTGCTGGACCTGGATGGAGAGGGGCTGTGCTCTCATCCCCACCCATTAGCTATGCCCTCTTTTCTCCGAATGTTGATTTAAGGAAGCAAGCACCTGTCTTCTGCCACTGCATCTTCCAAGCAAACTTTAAAGGGCATTATATCTCATAGAAAGAACATTGAAAATGCTCTGATCTCTAGTGATGAAGAATCTTGGATTTGACACTTTTCCCATCCAGATATAATGCACTTTAACTGAAGAAAAACTGAACTGAACCTACAAGTATATTTCTTATGGTGCTGGATTACTCATGCCGAACTGCCCCGAGACCTGCCTTGAGAGAGGGATCTGACAGACCCAAGTCACCTCCTGACTATTCCACTTAGCTCTCCCTGGGGACTTAATTTTTGGTATGTATCTCATTTCTTTTTCAGATTCCATAAGCATGCTAATTGAATCTAGAATTCAAGGGAGGAAGCAATTGTTTATGAGATGGGATGGGTTTTAGTTAGGGTTACTTAATGCTGAAGTTCGCATGTTATATTAGGTGGAGCAGAAATAAAGATACGGCATGGGTATCCACAGTGTTAGTGAGCCTCTGGCTATTTTTAATCCCTCACCCACTTAGTGATTACCATGAAGATGTTAAATGGATTTTCATTAGTAAAATAAGCCCTGTTGAATTATTAAAAGAATCAGGAGTATTTCCATGCCATTAATTGGTATCCGAGTTGTGCATGCTGCTATTTCTCTTAATTCCATACCATAAATATTTTACAACAGGCTCAGTTCACTGGTGTCATCAGTGAGAGCCCAGTTTTGCATTCTCAGAAAAAAAAATATACAATGTACCAAAAAAAAAAAATGCTAGACATACTTTGAAGGTAAAGCTGCTTATTTCTGGCTGATTCCAAATAGCCATTTTCCAGAAAATGTGCTTTAATACCTGTCAATATTAGGAGAATTTCATTAGTCTTTACAAAATGTACAACTGCTGGAGAACTTTAGATGGACTTGTTTAACTTTGGACATGCACTTATTTATTGAAATAACTCTTTTCTAATTTCTCAAACTACTCAGAAGTATTTTCACTACTTACAATGTAGGCATTTGCACACTTGGGAAAATTTTGCATTTGAAAAATGTTCATCTTTACTGAGAAATACTAAAGTTATTTTTGTACTGAAGGCGTATATGCACTTTTTAAGTGTGGTGAAAACAGGTTACATTTTGATAGTTAATTTTGATAGTTTTAGTATCCATGAATTTATAATCAGATAGTATAAATAATGAATAGAGAGTAAGGACAAAAGTTAATCTCCCGTTTTTTTCACATTTTGGATATGATCCAATTTATTTGATGTATTGTTAAGTGTCAACTTAAAAATTGATGAGAAAACATGAGCAAGACATGCACAAGTGATTTTGTTTTTCTCTGAAAAGTAGAATGTACTTTCGTCCAACTCAGAGAAGAAGGAAATTTTGTGAAGGGCATTTAATATTTAGGAAATTCTGAAAACAGACCTGTGAAAAATACTGAACTTTGCAAGGACCAAGCATAGTTAGCCAAGTTCAATGGTTTGCAAAGTTGTGTAGAAGTGTCAAATCTCAGGGAAAAGGATGGTGGCCATTGTTTAAAATCAGTCAATTAGCCATAGACTCCCAACTCAATTTGGTGGCTTCCACTGGAGCTCCAGTCAGCACTTTATTACATTGACTGTATCTGCTTTGCAAATACTGCCTTGTAAGCGTCTGGAACCAATTGGCCCAAGGCTCCACAAAGTCCCTCAGCCACTGACTCTTTGCTGGAGTCCCTAATATTAGAGAGGATAGAGGCAATCTTTTAAGACCTTTGGTGAAAGATACCATGACAGCCTGGAAGTCAGAGAAATGCCTGGTGTATGCTAGTGCATTTGTATGATTTCTGCCCACTTCCAAATTTGGGAGGTGGAGATAGTAGAAGAAAAATTCACTGCTAAGAAATCTGCTTTCTGAGAAAGAAGCAATCAACGCCTTTGTGGTTACTCCTGAAGGCTTTCTTGGTGGTAACTTCTTTCCCCATTTTGTGCAGACCAGCTGCATTTTGAGAACACTGAGAATGAGAATATGAACATGACCATTTGCGGAATGGGGGATAGGATTCCTAGCACAGATCAAAATATCTGGCCACTAGTATTTGATAGTTCATAAGACTTTCATTGCAAAAACAAGTTTTGATATAATTTGCATGGCTATGGATTTTAACTGTGCTATCTAGTTTTTAAGTCCCAATCTACAAAGTTAGCAAATTTCAGATATGAATTTGCATATCTAGTTAACATATATATGTGAAGCCTGATTACTACTTCCATTTTCACACATAATGTGTGGTGAGTGGTTTTAGGTTCATGCAAATGATATAAAATGGTTTTTATACTGCTGAACAGTGCAACAACAACAATAAAACAGTCAAATCATCTGGGGAAACTTGCACTGGACCCAAGCCCCCAGCATTCCCCACCTTAGGGAAGATGGAATGGTGAAAATGAGAAGAAAAAGTCAAGTTTTGATAACTTAAATTCCAAGAATTTCATATAGCATTAAGATAAGTGCCCTCTGGAAAACCTAAAAAAATATTTTAAAAATAATTAAAAATATTTAAAAAATAGAAACTGAGAATCTTGCACTTTGCTCAAATAAATTGAAACATAAACAAGTGGAAAGAGTAAAATATCCAATCTCACCTCAAGGCATCTATTCTCTACGACGCATTATGATGTTTTGGTGTATTACAAATCACGTTACAATAGCATAAAATGAACTTTACTTTATTCTGGTCATAAGATTATCTTGCAAGATTCACCATGGCCTAAAATATAGAAATTCTTATGAGACTTTAAATATGGGGGAAACAATTCACTCCACATCAGACTGTTTTTCATTCTTAACCACTCAATATAGGTGGCAAATTTAAGATCAAAGAAGTTGTCACCACTCTGTATGTTGGAAAAGGTAAATCTTATATAGAGAACAATTTCATTTAAAAAATTTAGGGTAAACAGTTTAAGAAGAAAAAAAAAGCAGCAATGACCAGGAGACTAGTGGATTGGTTCAGTTAGAGAATGCTGGTAAATATGAAACTCCACCCTGGGTCAGTAGAACTCTCAGGTACACCACAGGACTAAGTCTTACTGAGTGAATCTCTAACAAGCCTTCCTTTACAAAGTTGGAGTGTGGATATAGTCAAGCAGAAGATTATACTAACTGAAGAAGTGGTTCAGAATTTTAAACAAAGGGGAGGGAGATCCTTAGACAAGATGAAAAAGAAGCAGACAGCCTGAATATTCATTTGACTCTTTTTGCGTGACATGTCTCCCTCACTAGCGTGTCTTTGAGGAGCTCAGTTTCCCCATGAGTTGGTGCCATATTAAATAGACTCTGTGGACTGACAAGATACACAGTGGATTTCTACATTGGTGGAGGGAAAATGCCACATAAGCATGTGATCTTGCTGGAACTTCCATGCATTTATTTTCAAAAATACTCCCCATTTAAATTTATCTTTAATACTAAGTATTACATAATGGTTTCTTTCTTTCTTTCTTTCTTTCTTTCTTTCTTTCTTTCTTTCTTTCTTTCTTTCTTTCTTTTTTGAGTTTCTTTGCAGAAACTATCAGCTACAAAAGAAGAAAAAGAAAATAGGGATTTTTTTCTAATTTTATGCTTTTATCAATTTCATTTGTACATACATGACTTTTGCTGTGTGGGCTTGGATAATGGTAGTTTTTTTAATCCAGGAGCATTTCTGAAGCATTAACAGCACTATCAGCTCTAGATTCAGCATTGGTAAGGAACAATGACGGCTGCATTAGAAAAAAAAAATATATGTAGAAATCTCAATACGAAGTTAAATGCTAAGTTTATTTCTTTTGTCGTTGGTAAGAATTTAATTGTTGCATTTTGGGTATGTCAAGTCTCAAGTTTTAGAACATTTCACAGTATTGCACACTCTAGCCTTTGAGAAGGGTGTGGTCAACAGGTTATATGTAGTAGAGTGAAAGAATGGCATAACATGAAAGCTGAAAAATCGCCATCCGCTTCGCTATTTAAGCCAACATCAGCAGCTCTGTAAGATCAGACATGATTGTAGATATAGTAATCTAAATATTCAATCTAAATATTCAATCTAAATATTTCCAGACAGAATCTCTGGAAATACACACTTATAGAAGCCTAGGAGGGCATACAGTAAAGGCCTTATTTTCGCTCCGTATTACATGAGATTCTGAACTGGTTATTTAACTGCATTATCAGAAGAATCCTTGATAATAAGTTTTAAATTTATCCATGAATTACAATAAACACATACACAGAACTGCACTACTTGGATCAGTGCTGTGGCTTCCAAGTGGCGCATATACACTTTTAGAATGAAGACACAGTGTTCCAAGAATATAGGCAGGCAGCAAAAGACTCTCATTTGTTTTACACAAACAATGGGTGCACAAAATTATTGCTGTCCAGAGGAAGGCAGAAGCACCCTTTCAATCTTATGCATTCTGTTGTTGCTATATCTAATTTGAAGCCAAACAAGGGAGGTAGTTACTTTTTGTAAAAAACACTGAAGATGTTACCTATAATACAAAATCCAGTTGCCTTTCAACAGTGTATCCTAAAACACCAACTAGGTAATTCACTGTCTGTTTAAACAGATTTGCAATTCAAGAGTCAACTACAACTACAACCATGTCTTTGATGGGCTAGACACAAAGCGTGCCTTACTCAACATTTATGTGATTCATAACAATGCATTCTGAAAACACATTTATGACTTACTGGATTTTCATGCTCATTGCAGCAAATGGTAGTAGTTGTATCAAGATAGACAACATGGAGTTCAGTTTTCTGTTGAATCTGTTCACTGTGCGAGAGCTATGGTCTATTCATCTGAAAAATGTCCTTCAGCTTGAAAAGGCAAAGTTGGAAGGTGAGAGATGAAATGAGAGATGAAATGGTGGTCCATACACCATAGTGCCCTTGATTTTTTGTTGTTTTTGTTTTGTTTGTTTGTCTTTGCTTTGTTTTGTTTTGTTTTTAGATTTGGACAATGGGAATGGGAATGGGAATCAGGACTCTTAGTCCTGATTACATTTTTTTTTTCTTGCTTGTTGTTGTTAGTGAAGAAATTTGTTAACTTCCAATTTGACTCCCAGGTGAACAACTATGGTGAAGTAAGTGGTATTGTCTTAAATATTCTGCCTAGTTGTTTCAAAGTCAGATTTGTCAAGGAGCCATGCTGTTAATATTATAATTTCCGCAGTTAAGAATTGGAAGAGTATGCATGATGGCTCAGAGGTAGGGGCACTTATGTGTGGCCTTAGCACCTGAGTTCCATCATCTGATCCTACAGGTGGTAGGAAAAAATGGGCTA